AGCACGACGATGTTAGAAACTTAGAACGAACGAGAACGATGAAGTAAGCATGAGGGGGATACAAGTAGGAAACCCTAACAAAGTTGTACCCCCTAAGGCTAAACCCCTAAGCCTACACAATATAAAAATATATAATGTTTGACACACCCCTATAGGCTAAGTGGGAGACAACCAGAAGGTCACAAGACCAGTCAAAGCAAAGCAAAGCAAGCTCAGGGTGGATCTCAAGGAAACCACACAAATTCTGAGCACAAGCAAGAGGTCACAAGACCAGTTCACATGCAGGTTGATAATATAACAAGAGGTAGGGTGATCACAACCTAGCAGGTGTAAGCATGCAGGTATATATATAGAGATCATAGTACAAACAGAGTCAATAAGTAAGCAAGTGAGGCCCAGTAGGCACCAGGCCTAGTACAGTACAGAAGGGCTGATGATCACAAGGCTGGAGTGCCTTGGTGAACACATCAGCAGTGTTGGCCCGAGTGGCCACGTAAGCGAGACGAAGCTGACCGCGCTGCTGCAGCTCTCGAGCCAGGAAGTAGCGCAGAGTGATGTGCTTCGTTCTGTGCTCCAGTCTGTGCTCCTAACACAAGGCAATAGTGGCCTTGTTGTCAATGTACAGCACTAGAGGAGAACGAGGCCGCTCTCCTAGGTCAGTGAGTAGGTAGGTGAGCCAGCGTAACTCCTGTGCAGCCATGGCTGTGGCGTAAATCTCAGCCTCACAACTGGAGCTAAGAACAGAAGACGAGCAAGTAGAACGCCAAGAAACTGAGCCAGAGCCAAGGTTGAAGGTGTAACCCTGAGACGACCGCTGAGTAGCCTGGTCGTCAGCCCAAGAAGCGTCTGAGTGCCCAGTGAGGACAACTCGAGCCCGTCCTCTAAGCACTAGCCCCATGCCCGACGTACTGCACAAGTAGCGCAACACCCTCTTAGCTGCATCCATGTGCTCCTTCCGGTGACGGCCAGGAGCGACATAGCGTGCGAGGATGCTAAGAGGGTATGCTAGGTCAGGTCGTGTGCAGGTCATCAGGTACATGAGGCAGCCCACAAGCTCTGGATACGGGCCACTCAGCTCTACGGACTCATCCGAAGGCAGAGCTGAGAGCGAGTGACCGGTACGCAGAGGAGTGGCCTGAGGCGAGGAGAACGTGAAGCGGAAGTGCTGATGGACCTGCTGCACCATGTGTGACTGAGTCAAGGTGATGGTGTGCTGTGCTCTATCCCGGGTGGTCCGTAAGCCAAGATAGCTTGTAAGTTAACCCAGGTCTGTGCACGTGTGTCTCTTCTGCAGCTCGGACTTCACGTGGTCGAGTGCCGCAATGTCAGCAGTAGCAAAGACCAAGTCGTCTACGTAGACGAGAACGTAGAACGGCGGTAGAGTGGTGTCGGTGCGTAGAAACAGTGACGGGTCAGCAGTAGAAGGAGCAAACCCAAGAGTAGCAAGTGTAGTCCTCAGTGTGTCGTGCCACTCACGTGGTGCCTGTCGGAGACCGTAGACTGGCCGTTGGAGGTTCCACTGGGTGCCAGGAGGGTACGACCCAGTGAAGCCAGGTGGGCGGCGCAGCCAGATCTCCTCGTGCAGGCTGCCCTGTAAGAACGCAGTGCTGAAGTCGAGAGAGTGAAGCTCGTAGTCACGTTGAGCGGAGATGTGCAGCAGAACCCGAAGAGTGGTCATCTTCGGGGTCGGGGAGAAGGTCTGGAAGAAGCCAACTCCCTCTCGCTGACTGAAGCCTCGAGCCACGTAACGCGCCTTGAAGACAGGTGGAGAACCCGGCGGCCGCTTCACCCTGAAGATCCACATGCCACTAACGATGTTCACCCCAGGCGGGGGAACCTCGTCGACGTAGGTGCCTGTGGACTTCCAGGAAGCAATCTCTGCGTCCATAGATGACTGCCACTGAGAAGAGTAGGGACCCTCTATCGCCTCCGCGTAAGAGCGCGGAGTCGGGATGTCTAGTGCATCCGGGTCTCCCTCAGGGGCAATCAGCATGGACACGAGATGGGGCAAAGCAGCGGCAAAGCACTCAAGGTCCTTGTTGTTGATTGTGTTGGTGGTTGTGGTATCTTGCTCTAGCTGGTTGTGGGCTAAGGGTTTGGGCAAAACGTGGTGGTTAGACTTGTTGCGGGCTGGAATTGATCTCGCACCCAACAAGCACCAACAAACCCTTGCTATTCACTACAACACCTTTGTTGTTGCTAGTTTAGCACTTTGGGTTTTTGGGGATTGTTGTAAGGCGAGGGTTGGGTTGGTAGGGTTTGAACAATTCGTCACTTTTCAGATCTGAACTCTTGCTAAAGCTACCTTCTTGCTCTAATCCATGGCTGCCAAGTAATTCCGCCAGGATACCCCGTCGCACGTAAATCGCGATAGCGATCGGCCTGGATCTTGGTGTAAGGCGTGCTTTACCATTCTGGAAATTAGAGATTAAGACCTTTCCAACGCGTACCTGCTCATAGTTTAAGGGTACGTGAGCTGCACTCAATGGTTCGCCGAAGTCGGCGGACTTAATCTCTTGTTACGCTCTCCAGATTCGCACGCTTTCCATCATTCGTGCCTGTCCTCAAGGACGTCCGTGCCAAGAGCACACTCACCCCCGACGGACGGAGTACAGACAGACTCAGACTCAACAACAAGGCTAGCAGCGTAGTCTAGACAACAAGCGGCAGCAAAATCAACTAGCTCAGCGACTAGAGTAGACGCAGCGGAGGACTCAAAGGTAGGGTCAGTGACAACAGTGGCGAGGAGACGCGTGAGAGTAGGACTGGCAGTACGAAGGGAGTCAGACTCCGGGTCAGAAAGAGCAGGAAGAGAGGACGCAGGAGGAGATGGCAGGGGGAGATGCTGAGGAGCAGTGGAAGGACGAAGCGCCATCTGGTGAGTGCCTGGGACAGCAGGAGGACGCTGACGCGGGACACAACGACCAGTGTGAGCAGCACGAACAGGTGACGCAGAACGAGACTCAGGCGACACAGGACGAGACGCAGGCTCACGACGCTCCGTAAGACCTCCAGTAGGACCAGTGTAAGGAGAAGGACCAGGGAGTGGCGAGGCAGGTAGTAACTGGGACCGCGACTGGATAGACTAAGGACACTCTAAAGAGGGAGCAGGACAAGGAGGAGGCGGCTGACCAAGAACCTGTTGAAGGAGCGGAACGAAGTACGGCCGCGGCCGTGTAGCGCCTCCAGAACCAGCAGCACTAGCAGCACCAGCTCCAGTGTCCTCAGCACTAGTAGCAGCTCCAACTCGAGGGTCCTTAGCACCAGCAGCAGCTCCAACGCCTGGGTCCGCAGCACCAGCAGCAACTCCAACTCCATGGTCCGCAGCACCAGCAGCAGCACCAACTCCAGGGTCCTCAGCACCAGCATTAGCTCCAACTCCAGGGTCCTCAGCACCATCAGCAGCTCCAACTCCTGGGTCCGCAGTACCAGCAGCAGTACCAGGTCCAGGGTCCTCAACACCAGCAGCAGCTCCAACTCCAGGGTCCTCAGCACCAGCAGTAGCTCCAACTCCAGGGTCCCAAGCACCACCAGCGCCACTCCGGAGACTGCAGCGCCGAGCGTACCACTCTCGGAGCCGCTGAGGAGAGGGGAGCTCCCGCCTAGGCGGGGAACCACAAGCACTAGCTCCAGCACCACCTCTAGCCCCAGAAGCACCTCTCCTAAGGCTGCAGTACCGTGAGTACCACTCACGCAGCTGCTGGGAAGACGGAGGGTCTCCAGGCGCCGTACGCTCAGGTGTAGCACCCCCAGGCTCAGTACCCTCAGTCGCAGCACTCTCAGGTCCAGTACCCCCAAGCTCAGCACCCCCAGACTCTGTACCCCAAGGCTCCGCACACTCAGGCTCCGCACCCCCAGGCTCCACACACTCAGGCTCCTCACCCCCAGGCTCCGTACCCCAAGCAGGACAAGAGTCGACAGCTACCTCGACAGGCTCAACCGGGTCTACCTGGGAAACACCTGAGGGAGCAGCACCCTGAGGGGGGAGGGGGTCTACCACAGCAGCACCTGGAGCGAGAAAGAGAGGCGGGGGGGGGAGCGGGGTAGTGCGGTAGGGGAAGAGGCGGTAGTAGGGGACGGACTCGTCGAAAGTGACGTCCTGAGAAGGCAAGACACGACGCGAGGTAGGGTGGTAAAACTGCCAACCAGACGCGTCCGGGACAAAGCCAAGGAAGACACAAGGAACAGCGCGGGAGGAGAGCTTGTCCGCGGACGTATCGCAAACAAAGGCTCGATATCCCCAGACCCGAAAACGTGACGCATCGCCAACCTTGCCCGTCAAACGCAGTGTCGGCGAAGTCTTCGGAACGGAGACACGGGGCCAGAGGTTGAGCTGATGTGCAGCGTATCGGACCGCAAACAGCCACAAAAAGTGGGGGGCAGCCGCATGGATCAAGGAGGTACGAGCGACCTCCATGACCAAGCCAATGTGGCGCTCAGCAACCCCATTCTGCTGTGGAGACGCCGGAAGTGTGAACGACTGCTCAATGCCGTCCTTCTGATAGAAAGCCTTCAAGAGGCCGGAGGAAAACTCACCACCTCTGTCAGAGTGCAGACGCAGGACAGGAAGGTCGGAGTGGAACCTCTCGCTGAGCTGGAGGCGGGCAGCGCGGATCCAAGGGATCAAAACATCAGGAACTTCACCCTTGGTGCACAAGGGGAAGACCGTGGTGTAACACGAGTAGTCGTCGACAACTATCAAGAAGTACCTCTCGTGACCCTGTCCACGAACGCGGGCTGGGCCCCACACGTCCATGTGGAGCGTCTGCAGAGGAGCAGTCGTCGGGGGAAAGGAGGAGGAGTGAGGAGCGGCGCACTGCCTCCCCTCGACACAGGGAAGACAGGGGGGAGCAGGCGAGGGTGGGAGGGGAGGGAGCACCCTGGGAGCGAGAGACAAGGAACCGGGAGTGCATGCCACGAAGGCGCTGCACAGACAGGTGACCAAGGCGGTGGTGCCAGAGGACAGTCTGGTGTGACAGGGAGCGACACGAGCAGGGGGCCTATAGCTGACCAGACACAGACGTAGACGCAGATGCAGCTACCTGAGGGAGCTTAGTGGTCAGTGTGTACAGGTCCGACCCCGGCTGCCAAGTGAACATAGCCAAGTGGCGACCCGTCCGAGCACACGCGCAGTGTGTCACGCGCTCGTAGGCAGGGGTGAACTGGTGAACACCCCCGTCCTCGAGTGCACTACCTGCCACCAAGTTCGTAGAGAACGAGGGGAGGTAGAGACCTGACAGTGTGCCCGAAGGGACTGCCGGACAGGGGAGGACAGTGGAGGAGGTCGCAAGGACTGGACCTCCAGAGGGGTCGGTGAGGGAGACTGCAACTGGCTGAGCAAGCTGCTCAAGGGCAGTGCGGTCATGAAAGAAACAGCGAGAAACACCTTAGTCTAGTGTGAAGGTGTGTAGTGCCTCAGTAGACTCAGCACCAGAGGGCGCAGACTCACGAGTACCTAGAGCAGCAGCCTCACCAGTACCTGGGGTAGTAGACACGCGAGCAACTGGGGCGGCAGCCTCACTAGCACCTGGGGCAGCAGACGCACTAGCACCTAGAGCGGCAGCCTCACTGGTCCGAATGCCCGGATCCGGCGGAACACACAGGTACTGGGCACCCTCTCCACTATCAGACATCACATACATGGCACCAAGAATCACATCGAAGTCAAGAGCATATACATCAATGTTCTTCCTAAGAAGATTAGCTCAGCGGGGCAGCTCAGTGGCACCAGGAAACTGAGTACGCCAGGCGTCGTCAAGGCGGGAGAAGCAGCGCTGTGTGGTGTGCGCCCTGCCACACGTCTGACCAGTGCAGTCACCTGTGCGGATGACGTACGTGCAGCTAAGGCCACCCCCCCCCCCCACCCCATGCTGAGAGTACCACTCACGAAGCTCTTGGGGCAAGTCTGCTGCTGGCGCTGACTACCACCTCAACCACCACCACCCTTGCCGCCACCGCGCCCACCGCCGCCACCACCAGTGCCCCCACCCCGGCCACCTCCTCCGCCAGTGCCGCCACCACCCCCGCTGCCGCCACCACCCCCACTGCTGCCATTAGCCCCTCCAGTTCCGCCACCACCCCCACCGCCGCCACCGCCCCCACCACCGCCTCCCCCGCCGTCACCACCACCTCCCTTGCCCCCTTTTCCCTTGTCGCTGCGGCGCCCAGTCTGAGTGGACGCAGTCCCGACCTGCTCAGTCCCTAGGAGGTCAACAACAGCAGCAGAGGCGACTGAGGGGAGAAGGGGGGAGGGGGAGCACCCCTCGAAGAAAGGGGTGCGGGGGTCGCCACGAGAGGTGCCTACAGCGACTATACTAGCCTCAGCTGCAAGCAGTTCCTTCTCGAGCAGAGCAATGGTGAGTTCAATGGGGCATCGAGCGAGAAAGTGGTCCCTAACCGCACGAAGAGAGTCAGGGAGACGGGTGACTAGGTGGTAGAGAGTCAGCCACAGCGGGGGGGGGTTCATGTCAAGAAACTCAGCGGGCATAGCGGCACGGAAGCGGGCCTCACTCGAGCGGAGGTGTGTGATGAGGTCAGCGACTCTGGAGAAAGCGGACAGGTCTGGGAACAAGTAGGGGAGCGAGAGACGGCCTAGCGTAGTAGAGGCAGGTGAGGAGTAGCGTGCAACTACAGCAATGTACAGTGCCTGTGCTTTCTTGTGCTGTCCAAAGTGCTCGCGCTCATCTGTCGGCAGAGAGTTGCGAATAGCGAAGCGAGCGTGGGCGTCATGAGTCTGCCACTGTGAGCGGGCAGTGCTGTCAGTAGTAGCAGCAGGGGCAGCAGCGTGTCCTAGAGCGTGATCGTACAGTGAAATATCCTCCTTGGCAGTGAGCTGGAGATACAGGTGAAGGTCATCTAGCCAGGTGTCAAACTTCAGTGGGCGGCCCTCAGCATCGAAAGCGAGCACGGTAGGGTTAGCCATAGTTGCAGTAGGAGCAGTAGTGGCGGCTGTAACAGCAGTAGTGCCAGTAGCAGTGACAGTAGCAGCAGTAGCGCGGCTCGGTAGGGCGGCGCGGCTCGGCACGACGGCTCGGTAGGGCGGCGCGGCTCGATGGGGCGGCGCGGCTCGGGTGGGCGGCGTGGCTCGGGTGTATTGGGGCGCTAGCGGGGCTGCAAGGGCAGGGCTGCACGGAGGGAGGCACGCGAGGGCGTGCTAGTGGGGCGGGGCCGGTACTCGAGGGGCACGCAAGGGCGTGCAGAGCGGGGCGGGGCCTAGTCGCGCGGGGCACGCAAGGGCAAGCTAGCGGGGCGGGGCCGGTTCTCTAGAGGCACGCAAGGGCGCGCGGGTGAGGCAGGGCCGGTCGCACGAGGCACGCAAGGGCGCGCGAGGAAGGGCGGGGTCTGTTCGTAAGAGGCGCGCAAGTGCGCGCGGGGCAGCGGATCGCGTAAGGGCGCGCTACGAGGAGGGCGGGGCCGATCGCGCGGGGCAGCGGGTTGCATAAGGGCGCGACACTAGGAGGGCGGGGCCGATCGCGATGGGCACGCTAGGGCGCACTACGGGGCAGAAACGAGGTGCGCTCGCGGGCGCGACTAAGCGAGGCGCGCTTGGGCGCGACTAACAGATTAGGTGGGCCCTATCATCGGTCCTAGGTTACGACCTAGGCTCGTAATACCATGTTAGAAACTTAGAACGAACGAGAATGATGAAACTAAGCATGAGGGGGATACAAGTAGGAAACCCTAACAAAGTTGTACCCCCTAAGGCTAAACCCACTATAGCCTACACAATATAAACATATATAATGTTTGACAGACGATACGGTGGGCGGACACGAAATGGTCGTAAACGCCCTCGACTACATCTCGGAACGTTTCGTGATGTTTCAAGTCGAGGACCACACCGACGACCGCGTGGCGAAGCGATTCAAGCTCTACCAACAGAAGAGCCTCCTGACCTCCTGCCCGTTCAAGCAAACGGTAGCCGATGTGGCGGCTATGGATCCCGCGGGGGGCGCGTACGCTCGCTCCCACAGCGCTGAAGGGCACGGGCCGACGTCATACATCCCAAAGCGTGGACCGGCGCCCACGGGTAGCTTCCATGGCTTACGTGGGGAGTACTTCCGTTGTGCCCGAGGAATGGGAACGGTGGCCAAGGACCCGCACCCGTGGCGCGTGGCACGGTGCACGTCATGTGCAAGGACCGTGGGCAAGCCAAAGGGGTTAGCGGTGGCGGTTGGCCAGACATAGTTAGGGGGTGATAGATAGTCTAGATCTCTTGGCCCTTGGTATTAACTCTGTTGAAATGAGAACGATGCCAAATGATCAGTATAAGATAGGAAGCGTTCTAAATTCACATTTCTAACCAAATATCACTCGACACACATTCTCCAGCCCTCATCTCCAGAGAGGTTCAGAGCTATACTCTCAGCTCCAGAGAGATTCAAATTCAAACCAGAAAGCAAATCATGGCATAATTACAAGATTTTTAGAAATTCTAAGCCAGATTACGCCTCCATACCGACGTTCTTACTTAATCGATCGTTATAAAATTTGTCAAGAATAATATATATTTCTATATATTGTTTTTGTAACTGCCTGTAGTGTAGACTAGTGTAGTTATATAATGTTCTGTTTTGGTGGTGCACCTTTCATTTTGCCTATATGTACTGCTCGCTCTATAGTGAAAACCCTTCTTCTCTTTTCAACTTTCTCGACTCTAACTTAACTCACTCGAACTCAACTAGCTATGGCTCCTTAGCCTAGCTCAAGTTCTCACAAAATTCTGTCACGATGCTAAGTTTGCTACAACAGATTGTTTTAGTATTCAGCTTCATCGACCCAAACAAAGTCATCCGCGGCGTATGACGCTTTGACAATTGATTATGTTGTTGAAACTTTTGATGGTGAAACTCTTAAGCGTGGACTTGATGGTGATACCGTGGATGACAACGCGCCTGTGAAAATAAACAAAAAACAATGATATCGTTGGTGTGGATGTTATATGAAACAAAAAATATAAGCTCGAGAGTGCAAAAAAAGGAAAGGACAACAAGTGCCATGACTGACGACATTGGGAATTGCATTCTAAAGAGTTTGAGCAAACGGGTCTGGATAAAAAAAAAGGGGGGGGGGGGGGGGGGGGGGGGGGGGGGGGAAGATGAGGGGGGGCGATCCCAGTGCTTCTCCAACACCCCCCCTCACTGGGGTTGGCCTAGGACCACACACACTTTTGAAGACATTGCAAGGGTCATGCTAAATCTCACGCCATACTCTTATGCCAAAAATTGGAGGCGTCTTGTTCGCATTTTTGCAAAAGGAAGCATCTTTTCCGTAGACTTGAGTGTCCGAAGTTGAAAGATTGGGCGAATGGCTGCAACACGAGGTGAACATGTCATCCGTGTCACCATCGCCAAAGATTTGCATCTTGCATACGGTGCATACATGGAAAACATCAAGAAGAGATTGCAAGGGCTGCAATGCAATATATCTGACAAAATTAGAAGAAAGAAAGGGGGCTTGACTAGCACGAATGGGGATACAAATAGCAAACCCTAACAGGGTTGTACTCGCTATAGAGCACCCCACTACAGGCTAGATGAGAACATTCTGACAATATCTTCCACGTATGTCACACCTCCCTACATGGACGCTTTCATGGCAATAAGCGATCATTGGCTCGACAATAACTTTGAGTCTCAACAGATTTTGCTTGAATTGATTCACATGGAAGGTTATCATACAAGTGAAGTAATGAGAACGCTTTCGTGCGCTCTGTCCATGTTCGTTGACGCCTTGAAGACAAAGTGATGGCCATCACACTTGATAATGCAAGCTATGTCTCCTTGATGAAGGGAACAAATTCACAAAGGAGAGTCATATGTTTTGCTTTATGTACGTGATCAATCTTGAGTTGAGGCCATCATGAAAGCACCCACCTCCAAAGGTGCATTTGAGAATATTCGAGGGTTTGCTACAAACATTGGAGACTCCTCTCTTCAAAACGGGAGGTTTGTGGGAAAGTCCAAATATTCCACAGCTTGGAATATGACATCTTTTTTTTTTTTTTTTTTTAGATTGAATATTTCTACCATTACTACCAAATACAAAATACAACAAGGGAGCAAAATAACAAAAGAAATGTGAGTGGAGTTGGAAAGAGAGTGACCTAGGGAAGGGAAACGGAGGAAATAAATGAGTGAAAGTGCAGCCGCCGGAAGACTACAATGGCACGACACTTAGAGAACCCCATCAAGACGCCCCATCAGGACACCCCATCAAAGAGACCCCAGAAAGACACCCTATCAAGGCACGCCACAAAGACACCCCATCAAGACACCCCATCTACCCCCCCCCCCCCCCCCCCCCCCCCCCCCCCCCCCCCCCCCCCCCCCCCAACCCATCATCTACATCCGCATGTCCACCAAGTAGGGCGCATCCGCCCACGGAGAATCCCACCCAACATCCTCTTCAAAATCACCTCGCTCCACCCAAACAACGTTTGGGCCTCTCATCATCGACGCCGCGCGTAACAAGATCACACGCGCCTGAGCTCGCTGCAAAGCCACCCCTATGGCTGCTCTAAGTGACCCGAGTAGATATGCTGAAAAACCCTTTCTCGTGACCCTCTCCGCTCCTTTCGTCTTCGCTACCTCAATCTGCGCCTCGCCGTGTTTCTTAAGCCACCTTCCAAAGCTCGCGCCCA